AAACACAAAGTGCTTTTAAAAAATGTGGTTGTCCTTTCAAAATACGGTCAACACCGTCAAAAGATGGTTCTGGATGGAAGATTGATATAAAATGTGAACTTGACAACCATGAATTACCCGAGGGTATGTTCACAATTATCCCAGACCTCAAAGAAGAAACTATCTAATAATTTCATTGTACAATTTTCATAGTATATCAGACCATTTATTGATGACATTGTTGATGTCATGAAGGATGGAAATTGTGGGTTTAGAGTCATTTCATCGTTGCATGGTTATGGCTCAGATGGATGGTACATTGTTCACCGTGACTTGGAGAAAGAACTTAGAGGTCCTCGAAGCAATCTGTATTAACAGTTATTTGGAGTTCGTCTTTCATTAGTGAGAGAATCTTTGATGGTATCATCTTTAGGTCATCAACCACCAGATAAATGGATGACATTACTAAATATGGCTTATGTAATAGCTAATCGGTATAATGTCATTGTCGTCTATTTGAGTTATTCTAGTTTGACTTTCTTTCCTATGACGACTTCACATTCACTTAATGTGTCCATAAATGGATGAAAATGAGTCGAGTCGAGTCGAACTCACCTCAGCTCAGTTCGACTTATTAAGAATTAGTAGAGTTCGAGTTCGAGTTCATCGGAAACTTTTTTTCAGTTCAAATTCAAATCGTTAAGAATTGGTCGAGTTTGAGTTCATCACAAACATTTTTTTCAGCTCAAACTCGGCTTGTTAGAAGTTCATGAACATCCCGATTCAACTCGTTAAGTTTATCTTGTTAGGTTCAATTTGTTTATTTCACGGACTTAAAAGTAATTTTTTTAAGTATATATATATATATATATATATATATATATATATATATATATATATATATATATATATATATATATATATATATATATATATATATATATATATATATATATATATATATATATATATATATATATATATTGACATTTTAAATTAATATTTTTTAATAAAAAATATAGAAATAAAATAAAAGTTATAAGATTGGAATTTATACGATATTAATTTTATTTGTATAATTATTCGTAGAAATATTTTAATCACTTGAGAATATAAATTATCAATTAAAACCGTTAGATTAAAAAGAAATATGAGACTAAGATTTAGAGCAAATCTTTAAACCTACTCTTAAAGACAATATAATGTATCTCATATATAATCGAATTGACTCATGAACCTAACGAGTTGAACTATGTATAGTTCAAGTTCAGCTCATTTAGTTAACGAACTTAGTTTTTAGCTCATATTCAGCTTATTTTATTCATGAACTTAGTTCAACTATTTAATTTTCGAATCGAATTTCAAACTATTTTCGAATTGGTTTGATTCATTGTCAGCCCCATGTATTGGATATGTAGACAACAATCATCGAGTACATGTAAGTTTTTGTTTCTTATTAAATTTCTGTTTCATGCCTTATTATTTGTTACTATGTTACTTACATATTTTTCGTTTAATCTTAATTTCTTAATCAAGTAAACATGAATGAAGGCTTTCTGTTGCCACCAATAACATTGGATTGAAAGAAATTTCGCACAAAAGATACGACTTCTTAGATGGTATAATTTGTCGGACGATTACAACATTGACAACGCCTTACACCTGCGGTGCCACGATATATTAGACTATAATTGTAATGTGTTTGTTTTATTTTGGATTCTATTGACGTACAACTTCATGCTAAATTTTGGATTATAATGACTAAAAATTATATTTTAAATTCTATTGCAAGTCTCAAAATAACATAACTCAATAATACATAAGTCTCAAAATAACATAAGTCTCAAAATAATACATAAGTCTTAAAATAACAAATAAGCAAAGTAGATCATGCGTCAGACTCATAAGGTATCAGTCCTCCCTGATGTAGTGGTCCACCCTGAGCTAAACATGGTGACCAAAAAATCTCAGCGAACTCATCGTCCTCCTCATCTGCCTCGTAACACTGTAAGTAGCGATGAAGCTCACATGACATATATGATAACCTCTGATCTGATGGTCCTTCGTCATAGACAGGAACTGAGATCTCTCTCACCTCATCCCATGATGGTGCTATAAAACGAGGATGTGACACCGTATAATACCAAGCCAAGTACTCATTGACTACATCATATAACCGGTAGGATGGAAATAGACTAAGCTAAGTTAGGCTTTATAAGGTTTGAATCTGACCTACGACAAACTTATAAGGCCTGAGCCTGACCTATGGCCTACTATAGGCTCATTTTTTTTTGCCTGGCCTGGCCTTTTAACCAACATATTTAAACTATATATATATATATATATATATATATATATATATATATATATATATATATATATATATATATATATATATATATATATATATATATATATATATATATATATATATATATATATATATATATATATAGGCCAGTCTATAAGACTTCATAGGTTATTTTAATAGCCTAAGTCTGACCTATTTAATTAAATAGGCTTTTAAAAAAGCCTAAACTTGACCTTTTTAGTAAATAACCCTAGTCTGACCTGGCCTCAAATAGGCCAGACCATAGGCTCTTGTAGACCGGCCTGACCTATTCCCACCCCTAATGGTCGGGTAGCGAAAATTGCATCACGAATTACATCCAAAATTCCCTGAACATATCCAGCCCAATCAACATCCACATCAAGTGAGTCAACATGAAGAGGTGGACGGGGTATGTATTATCTATATTCAAACTGACACAAACATCTGTCAGGTAAATATAGCACAACTATCTCATGCCATTTCAGACCACCCTTGTAAAGACATATATCATCAAATGGACGGACTTGTTTGTGATCCTTAAAAGGCCGCCAAATGACATCATCATGTGTCAATGCATCTAACACATGCCTAAATACATCAACCTTCTGTTTTCCTTACTTGTAACTCTATTTCATCGCCCTCGGAAGTGGACTACCTACACCATAAATTCCAGACACACCTCTCTTTCCAATAGTGGAAAAATACTCGTGGATCCAACACTGTTACACACCATGAATATTATCAATTAAAATCATTAGAAATAGTTAAAGATAAATCAAATTAAAATTAAAATAAAACATTTTGTACCGGTAGAAGAGAGACATGTCTGCCAAGTTGCTTGCATATATAGAAAGAAGCATCACCTAAATATCGATAAAGTGTGACAAGTGTCGCCGCTCCCCAGCAATATCTACCACATCCATCCAAGTTCCTAAAAAGTGATAAATATTTTGCCTCTACAAGAGTAAAGGTTTTGTCAGCAAGAATGGTACAACCTAACAACATCATATATGCTCTAGCAGCACAATCAAATCTACTGGTAGCTCACTGATGCACAAATATCGTCTTTAACCAATCCAGTCTATAATAAGGACCTCTACAAAATCGGATCTCTTCAGCTGCCTCGTCCAACAGAACACCCATCAGATCGATAACTAGTTTAATAGCATCACTATCAGTGAAGCCTTCTTGAGGGTAAACCAACTCACCCCTAATCGGTATGTGAAGAAGACATGAAACATCGTCCAAATTAATGGTCATCTCATCAAATGGCATATGAAATGACAATGTTTCCGGATGCCATCGCTCTACGAAGGTCGATACCAGATTTTGGTTTATCCTCGACAAACTGGTTCTCTGAAGAGAGGATAGACCAGAGTCAGTCAACCAAATTTGTATCACAGGTGAGAGCATGTGCGGAATCCATCCTATCAATTTGTTGTCATGTGCAACAACCTTTAACTATTTCTTCAGTTGCCTCTCCTGAAAACAATTTATAATATAGATTTTATAAAATATATAAGTACTTACAAATAAAAATTATTCAAGATAACATGATAGCGATTAACTTACCTCGCCGAACCATAAATAAACAAATGGAGAACAACGTGAAAATAAATAAACAAATTAAATTAACCAAAATCAGAACCAGATAACGCATCAATGTGTTATCCGAAATAATAAAACAAGAACCGGATAACAGGACTAGACGTTATCCGGTTGCAAATTATGAAAACCAGAGAACCCACGCTTGTATTATCTGATTTGTTTTATTTTTTCTCGCGTAAACTGGATTACTCACTTATAGGTTATTCGGAGTGTTATGATGTAAACTAGATTTGCGACACTTGCATCCTCCGGTTTGTGTTTCCAGGGAGTTGCTCTCTCGTTCTTTTAAAGTGAAATGAGGAAAAAGTGAAAAAAAATTTAATGTGTTATTATATATATACAAGGATATTTTCGTCCAAAAAATTTATTTGTAGGAATAGAGAGATAACTGCTGGAGTACAGGGTAAAATTTTCCTTTGGATCGGATGGATACATGCTTGCATATGTGAAAGTTTAGAGTCAATTTTAGTTAATGGAAGCACATGTAGACCGGATGTGAAACCTGTAGTAAATATAGTGTGAAAAAGATTGTTTGCGTCAGAAGGAAAATGTCTTTCTTACGGAGGTGGAGGCTGCTTGTTGATACAAATAGTATTAGGTATCAATTGTTACAAATCTGGTATGAAAACTTAACTGAAGCGGCCTTATTCAATGAATATGACATCGCATACCGTGATCAATCAATCACTTGGTGGAGAGAATAAAGATTTAATGAATGTAGGCTTCTTAGTAAACAATGATCCGCATTGGTTTGTCAATAGTGTGAAGGGACAATTGGTTGGGTGCAGAGCCTCTGATTCTTACCTTCCCCAAATTGTACTCAGTAGTGATTAATAAGATTGCAAAATTGTCTGAAGTTAGATTTTGGACATGAAAATGTGTGGCAATGGAAATGGAAACGGCGGAGATCCTTATTTGCTCTGGAGGAATTATCATAGTTAAGAAACTTATTAGCTGATAAGCTTTCCGCGGGTATGGGTAATGGGTATGGGTATGAGGTAGGTTCCGCAGAGCATATAGGCTAAGGCAAATTTATCAAAGCTATCAAGCAGGTTACTATCTGATATATTGGCCATGCGAAATGCTCGTGCAGAGAGGATTGATGGATCAAACACGAGACATGTGTTGCATTTTTTGTTTCAACTGTGATGAAACCTGTCAGCGTGTTTTCTTCAATTGTGAATTTGCTAGCAAGGTATGGTTGCTCGAGTTTTATACTAGTACATATGGGAAAAAACAACTGTTAAGCTCCATAACAGTGCTAAGTTGCAGCAAAAAGTAAACAACAAAATACCCCATATGTCTGCTACATCAAACAACACTACTTGCCATTTTCACCCTTCCGCGCCTCCACCCACTGCACCCGATGATAGATGTCTGCAGAATGAATTTACCATTTACCAAGCGCTTGGCTACGTAGTGTTTCTAGTGCAATCAATTGACAGGCCATACTGCAATTTTGTATACAATAGTTAGATCAGATAAAATAAAAACTGACATACCCACACATATATACTCTTTCTCATATATTACTAATGTACATCATGTCCTACCCCAATCAACAACTTAGCTACATTTACAGATTCTTTAAAAATAGAACACAATTATACACAAATAAATGACTTCCCTCCGTCTTTACCGTAACTAAATTGCGGTCTTTTTCATATTACGTTCCACTTCCACTAGCATGTTTAAAATTGATGATGGAACTAGATATCACAAAGCACAAGAAACCATATAGAAGAATAGCCTCACTAAAATGAAACCACTTCTCAAAGCTATCTTTCAACCACTCACTGACATTCCTCACCATTAAAACATAATTAACCACTCTCCTATAAACTCTTTAACCACCAAGACTAATTGAACCATTCCACTGTGTCCTAAACGAGCAGAAATTTAATTAGTTTCATAACTATTTCCAAGTGCTCTAATGATAGTCAACAAACTTAAAGTATTAAACGGAACAAAATCTCTAAAGAAATTGTCAAAAAAATTGACAAGAGCAAAGTGTGTGCCTCCCAACATACACAAGAGGAATAGTTGGAGAATCAAATCAATTTGTCTTTTAGATTTATAAACAGAAGAGGTGGCTGAACCTTCATATGATATAATATGGTCCCATCCTTATAGGAGGCCTAACAGATCAATCAGTGTCTTTGCTGTATGAATGACTAGCTTATGTTTTATCTTTAAAAAAATTAATTATGCTCCTATTTTGTTCTAGCACTAAATAAGTTCCTATTCGATCACTCATAATCCCTTCTAGTCTACACAAAATGTGATTATCCGAACTTTGCCCCTAATAATTTTTGCTAATACAAAATTATGTAAGCACGTGTTATAAAACAATAGATTAAAACACACTGGCACATCCACATAACATATTAAAAACACTACTTACTTGCATTCTTCAAGGTGTTGGAAATTCTCTCTTGATATTCAATAAATCAGCAATAAATTTTTTATGCTCACTTAAATCTTCCACTGCTTTTCTTAGAGCATCTTGGTACTCTGTAAGTATTCCTTGCATTTCTTCATTTTGCTGCCTCTCATATTTGACTTGACTCTCGTACTCAGCTGTCACCTTCTTGAGTTGTTCTTTCAAAACTTCAAGCTCCCTTTGCATATTCATTTCAGCTATCTTTGAAACTTTCAACAAATTTTTCAATTGTTCATTAGAAGCTTGTAGATTGTGCTGGATTTTGATCTTACATTCTTCCTCCACTTTTGCTCTCTTATTTGCTCTTTCAAGGGAAATCTCATTTTCACTTTGAGCTACCTCATATGCTTGACGGACCCTTTTTAACTCTTCTTGCAAATTCTTAATTTCTTCCTCCTCCTTTAGAGGTGATGCCTTCAGTTTTTCTATTTCATCATTAATGTTAACAGATTGAACTGGTGTTTCTTCAACTACTTTAGACGTTCTAACCCAGGGTAACTTGATCTCTTTAACCCTGTCCTTGACCCATTGAGAATAAGTATCCTTTACACCATAACTTCTGCATCTAAGCTCTTGCCCTTTTCTGTGGATATTTTTCCATGCTCGACTTACCCTCCGTAACATCTCTGGGTCTTCTTTACCCATGGCATGCAAAACAAAATCCTTCAATAATAGATCTGCAGGTTTATCTACTATTGGATAACCAAGCTGCCTCAAAGCTAAAGTCGGGTTGTAATTAATGCATCCTTTGGTTCCAATAAGAGGCACATTAGGAAACTGTCCACAACTGTAAATTACTTCTTCCACCCTTTGCTCTTGTGAATACCATAAAATTGAATCTTCATTAAGGTTGTCTAGGCTTTGAGTCCATGCACTTCTACCTCTGGCTTCCACAAAACAACTATCCAAAAAAATATGAGATATTAACCACGTATACAACATGGGAAGACAACATAAAATCCTTGCTTTTTTCTTTTTGTGTCCGACATGAAGAGAGTAGTATACATCAGCAAGAACAGCGGGAACTGGATTCTGGTTGTGTTGCTTATAGGCCAGAAAAACACCAATAGCAGCCAAATCCACAAAATTATCCATGTTTGGGAATAACACTATACCATAGATAATGAGAGCCAACAAATCTATGAAAGCATCCCATTGGTTTTCATCGGCCAGTTCTTGAGCCTTTTTTTCTAGGTATTCTCTTGAAAATCCATGAGGTGTCCTTTTTATCTCCATTTTGCTTATGTCAATATTCAGTACTTTAATAATTGTTTTGGGTGTAGGGAATTGTCCAATTCCTCGGAATGGATTTCCTTTCTCTAAGGAATAACCCATGATTAGTCCGAACTCTTCCAACGTTGGAGCTAATTGAAAATCTTTAAAAGTGAAGCATCTAAGAGGAGGGTCGTAGTACTGGACCAAAGCAGAGAGGGCATCCGTTTTCACATCTACAGTCAAGAGGTCAAGGATCTTTCCATACCTATTAACAAAAATGTCTCGATAACTTTGTGTCATTTGATTGCCAAGGTCTATTAAGCTCTTCAAATCAGGATGCTCAATCTTTAAATTTAAAGTGTGTCTTCGATCTGATCCCATTTTTTTCAGCTTGTTTTAGAAACCCACAACACAAGTAATATTCTTATTATGACTCCTTAACAAACCTGAAAATTCTGAAAAGGAAAAATGTTTGCAATGAGCTATGAATGTAGATAGTAGAAAACAAGAAAACAGATTCTAAATAATATTTCCCAACAAACTAGGTTGCGAATGAATATCAAACTCCACCCCCAATTTAGCAAATTTCACTACAATTGACTATCATCGGTTGATAGGAAGGGGATTGGGCCTGTTAGCAAAGAAGGGGAGGTAATGGTTAACAAAGAGAGTAATGAGCACAAGGTATGGCGTGTGTATGAGAGAAGAATTAAGAAAAGAGTCACAAAGGAAGTGTGAGGCTGATGTGGCAGTAGGTTAGGATATCAGTTTGGGCCTTAGTCCAAACCAATTAAATAGGAGTTTATTCAGTTGGTATTCCCCATATAAATAGGAGTGTATGGGGCAGTAGTTAGTTAAGTTATTATTTGCCGTTTTTCATATTAGGGTTTGGGCAGTGAGAGAATTGTTTTCTGTGACTGAGGAGCCGTAGTTCTGGAACTTTCTGTTTTCATATTCATTAATAAAATAATTTCCTCCATCATACTATATCTTCCCTCTGTTCTATCAATTGGTCCGACCTTCCTTGTTCATGCAAACCAGAATGACAGAGAGAATTACTGCAATTGAGGAACGCTTGGGACGTGTAGAAACCAGTATTGAGGATTTGTGTACTTTCATTGCTGTGGAGATTCAACGTGCGATGGCGAATCGTGAATCACCTCAGCCAAGCGGTGCAACGATTACCTCGCCGTTGGATGAGTTTCGTCTGTCGGCAAAGAAGGTGGAATTGCCGGCGTTTACCGGCGACGATCCGGTGGCGTGGATCACTCGTGCTGAGACATACTTTGAAGTACAACGAATTTCTCAGGATGTTCATATTCAGTTGACAAAGTTGAGCATGAAAGGCCCTACTATCCATTGGTTTAACCTATGGCGTGATTCAACAGAGGAATTGTCATGGGGAGAACCTATGTGAAGCAATGATGGCGAGATTTGGAGGAGGTCGTTTGGAGAACCCGTTTGAAGAACTCAAGGATTTGAAGCAATCTGAGACGGTGGAGGATTACATCGCCGAATTTGAATTGTGTTCCCCTCAGTGTGGAAGGTTACCAGAACAACAATTTCTGGGCTTTTTATTGGTGGTTTACGTCACGACATCCGTTCTCGGGAAAGAACATTCGAGCCGCACAACCGGTATGTGGCGATGCAATTGGCACGTGATGTGGAACCTGAATTTGCTGAAAATTCAGGTCATGGATCAGGTTTGCGTTACAAACTAGGTCACGGGTCGTAGGCTCGCACTCCAAAACCTTCTTGGGCCTATCGTGAAGGTGAAGGGAAAGGACTTTTTAATTCAACCCAGAATGGTGCTGAGTTGGGGAAAACACGTAGAGGCTTTGCATCTGGATCTCAGACCGAATCTCAAGCTGGGTCGACCCGGTCTCAAATTTCCACAGGGAATTTGCGTGCAAGCTCTGATCGTCAGAATTCTCGGGGAGTTCGGCATTTTCCAACAGCGGAGTCGAATGACCGACGAGAAAAGGGTCTTTGTTTTCGTTACAGTGAGCGATGGGATCCTCTCTATCAGTGTGCTTTGAAACAGCTGTGAGTTCTCATCTTCGGAGATGATGAATTCCTCAATGATGAGGGAGAAATTGTTGGATTGGAAGCTGACTCATAGGAAGAGAAGGAGACTGTGGAGCTTGAGTGTAAGTCTCTCGGTGTGTTTGGCTTATCAACAACTCCAAAACCACGCAAGATGAAACTAGAAGGGGGATTGCAAGGGGCCAACATTCTGGTCTTAATCGATAGTGGTGCGACACAATTTCATTTCTCCTAAAGTGGTTGAAGCTTTGGGTTTATCTCTGGTTCCCTCAAATCCTTTGGGTGTAAAGCTAGGTGATGGCCATCGTGTTATGACTAAGGGTAAGTGTGTTGGAATTTCATTGGTGTTGGGTGACATGGAAACCACTCTCGATGCGTACATATTAGGGTTAGGGCGTGTGGACTTGATTTTGGGAGTGGTGTGGCTGGAGACTCTTGGTAAGGTGACAATGGATTGGAAGTCAATGTTGTTCAAATTCCGAGGTAACCTCGTAAAGTTGGTTGGTCAACCCTTAGATGAAAAAAGTGCTACCTTCCAGACTTTGATGACCACTTCCAGAATGCTAGAGGATTAAGGT